TAGACACAGAAAAAGCATTTGCCAAAACTCGCCATCTATTCATGATAAAAACTCTAATCAAACTTGGTATAGAGGGGACATATCTCAACATAACAAAGGCTATTTATGACAAACACACAGCTAATATCATACTCAGTAGTGAAAAGCTGAAAACCTTGCCTCTAAATTCAGGAACAAGACAAGGATGCCCACTCTTGCCACTTCTGTTTAACACAGTATTGGAGGTCCTAGCCATAGAAGTAATACAAAAAAAAAAAAAAGAAATAGAAGGCATCCAAATTGGAAGGAAGAAGTAAAACTGTGATGATTTGCAGATGACATCATATTATATATAGAAAACCCTAAAGTGTCCACCAAAAAACCATTAGAACTGATAAATGAATACACTAAAATTGCAGGATACAAAATTAATATACAGAAATCTGTTGATTTTCTATACACTAATAATGAACTATCAGGAAGAGAAAGCAAGAAAAAAGCTCATTTAAAATTGCATCAAAAATTATTAAATGCCTAGAAATAAACTTAACCAAGAAAGTGAAATACCTATACTCTGAAAACTATGAAATATCGATGATGGAGATTGAAGATGATACCAAAAAATTGAAAGATATCCCATGTTCAAGGATTGGAAGAATTAACATGGTTAAAATGGTAATACTACCCAAAGCAAGCCATTAATGCAAATCCAATCAAAATACCCATGACATTTTTCATAGAACTAGAACAAATAATTCTCAAATTTATATAAAACCACAAAAGACAGCAAATGGCTAAAATGATCTTCAGAAAAAGCGAACAAAGCTGGAGAAATCATCTTTCCTGACTTCAGGCTCTACTACAAAGCTACAGTAATCAAAACAGTATGGTACTGGCACAAAAACAGACACATAGATCTATGGAACAGAATAGAGAGCCCAGAAATAAACCCACACACCTAAGGTCAATTAATCTATGACAAAGGAGGCAAGAATATACAAGGAGAAAGACAGTCTTTTCAATAAGTGGTGCTGAGAAAACTGGACAGCTGCATGTAAAAGACTGAAATTAGAACATTCTCTAACAGCATATAAAAAATAAAGTCAAAATGGATTAGAGACCTAACAGTAAGACCAGATACCATTAAACTCCTAGAGGAAAACATAGGCAGAGTGCTCTTTGACATAAATCATAGCAGTATTTCTGGGGGTCTGTCTCCTAAGGCAAAAGAAATAAAAGCAAAAATAAACAAATGGGATCTCATCAAATTTAAACATTTTGCGCAGCAAAAGAAACCACTGACAAAATGAAAAGGCAACCTACTGAATGGGAGAAAATATCTGCAAATGATATGACAAGGGATTAATATCCAAAATATGTAAACAGTTCATACAACTCAATATCAAAAAAACAAACAACTCAATCCAAAAATGGGCAGAAGATCTGAACAGACATTTTTCCAAAGAAGACATATAGATGGTTAACAGGCACATGAAAAGATGCTTAATATTGCTAATTATTAGAGAAATGCAAATCAAAACGAGATATTACTACACCTGTCAGAATGGCTATAATTTAAAAACAGCACCAATAACAAATATTTGGTGAGGATATAAAGAAAAGGGAACCCTTTTACACTGTTGATGGGAATGCAGATTGGTTCAAATACTGTGAAAACAGTATGGAGATTCCTTAAAAAACTAAAAATAGAGCTACCATATGGTCCAGCAATTCCACTCCAGAATATATTCAGAAAAAAACCCCTAATTTAAAAAGATTCATGCACCCTAATGTTCATAGCAACACTATTTACAATAGCCAAGATATGGGAGCAACCAAAGTATCTATCAACAGACAAATGGATAAAGATGTGGTGTATATATAATGGTATATTTTACTCAGCCATAGAAAGGATGTAATCTGCCATTTGCAGTGCCATGGACGGACCTAGAGAATATTAGGCTTAATGAAAGAAGTCAGAGAAAGACAAATACTGTATAATATCACTTATATGCAGAATCTAAAAAATAAAACAAACAAATGTATATAGTAAAACAGAAACAATTGGGTGGGGGTTAGGGGAACGGTAGATAGGGGTATGAGACTGATATAAACTACTATGTGTAAAATAAGCAATAAGGATATGTTGTGCCACATAGGGATTTATAGCCATTATTTTGTAATGACTTTGAATGGAGTATAATCTATAAAAATACTGAATCACTGTGCTGTACACCTGAAACTAATATAATATTGTAAATCAACTATACTTCAAAAACAAAAACCAAAAAAAGCATAGAGTTAGACTGTATAACTGAACAACTTCATGTTCAATTTGTGTCTGAGAAAATACTTGCACTAATGGGTTTAAACCCTTTACTCTCATTGTGATTGCAAAGGTATTTAATTTTATTTTTATAACTTTAGTTTGTCTTGTGAACAGAAATGATTTTTCTCTCTTCCTTTTCTTCTCCTTTCCTGCTTTCTATTAGATTGGTCTTTAAAAATAATATCCTATTTGCTGGTTTGAAAGTTACATTTCTAATTTTTTTTCTTTTAATTGCCAGTAGTCAGGCTTTTAGTGTGCATCAGAATCCCCTAAAGGGCTTGTTAAAACACAGATTACTGGGCCCACTCCCAGAGTTTCAGTAGATCTGGGGTGGCATCCAAGTATTTGCATTTCTTATAAGTTCCCAGATAATATTAATGCTGCCCCTCTGGAAATCACACCTCGATAGTCCAGCAGCAATTGGTGGTTACCACAAAGTAAATATTAGCACCCATACCCAATAACTGTTAGTTGACTTGCTAGTTACTTTGAAATTCTTTTACTTATTGAATTCTCTACTTTCCCACTAGCTAAACCATGTGTTAAAATATTTAGATTTCCTTGTACCCAATATGTTTAGGTGTGCAATTCTCAGAAGTGTTTTTTGACCATCTAATCCCGTAATATTGCCAGGAACAAAAGGACTTCAATTTCTCATAGGATAATAATTTTTCCCCCCTGTTCTGAGCGCCAAACAGAGAGAAACTTTCTTGCAAGTTTCCCTCTCTTTGGCTGGAGTTTCTTTGGTCTCTTTTATATGGAGGTATATAGCCTTTACAGACTCCTGACTATAAGTAGAAGTTTAGCTGTGTGCCTTCTATGAACACAAGGCCATGCCCCCTGCCTTTGATAGGCAGTTCAACTCGAGCTTTGAGCCTTAGGACATCATCTTATGGCTTCCCATTCTGAGTATCCTTTCATTTCTAGCACCCCAGGGTTTCCCTTTTGAGTTTGGCTGTGCTTGTAGACTTTGGGAAGGGAGGATGTATTTCATACAGCATTTCTATGTGCTTAATGGGGTGGAGGTTGGGGAAGCTATGCAATCTCAGTCCACCTGGTTGTCTTCTCTTATCTTTTCAGTTGTCATCTAGCAGAGAACACATGGCATAGGGTCAAAAAGGTTTGGGAGGCAGAAAGTGAGTGGAAAAGAGAACCCCAAAGGTCTGGAATGCACCTGAGCTTAGAGACTTAGGGTTGGCAGCATATTGTTAGTACAGAAGAATAGTAGGTGGTGCAGAATTTCAAGTAATTAAAGGAAGGGCATTCTGGTAGTGGTAGGTAATGCTATAAATGAGGACTTGGAATTTTAAAATTTTAAAATTTTTATTAGGACTAATCTTCCCTGAAATATTTTTATTTCATATAAAGTATATACTACAAAATTTAAAATATTTTTCTTTTGGAGTCATTCTTTTCTTAACTATTGCCTTACCCTTCTTAGGTATACATTGACAACATATGCTGAAGAATATGCTCCACCATATGAATATCAGCCACTTGTGAGTATAAGAGCTGAAAAGCCATATTCTAATATTTATTTACTTAAAATGATTCTTTACATCTAATGTAAATAGTCAAGCTTGAGAAGAAAGGACAAATTGCTGAGATTTATTATTTTTATATTTATTTAGAGAGATTAACTTTTGTGGGAGTCAATGGAATATTTTATGATTATAATTTATTTGGGGAATTAGATTATAGATATCAGGGAGAAAATATTACATTGTCCAAATATGTTACTTTCTTCCTCATCTTGTTTTATTGACCTGCTCTCTAAATTCAGTTTATCTTGAATAAAAACCTACCTTTCTATTCATTTGTATTGCATCAGCACATGAAAATAGTGGTTTAATTTAGCTCTGGGAAATATGTATGTTGATAAAACATGTCCACTTTACAACTTCAATATACTTGTACTTAAAAAATTATACAATGAAAACAAAACAAGGCTGCTTCCTATTACTCTGGTTCTGAAAGTCTTAACCAGTGCAATAGATAAGAGACTTAATTATTGAAAAAGAAGGAAAAAAGTATTTATTTACAGATAGTATGATTATCTTCTCAGGAGAACCAACGTGTTAAAATGAGAAGTAATTAGAATGAATAAGGCCATTTAGTAAGGTGACCGAATACAAAATAAGTATATCAAAGATAGTATCTTTCCTTAATATTAATAATTGCCTAGTAAACTGTAAAAGAAAAAACATAAAAATTGCTATAGCAACACAAATTTAAAATACTTTTATGAGTAAAATTCCAGATCAAATAAAGATCAATAAAGAAGATGTAGTAGTTTGTCTTCAAAGATGTTGGACAGGCCACTTCTCCGGCGAGAGGTGAATGTTCCTCCATCTTTTGAATATAGTCTGTCAAGTGACAAATTTGAAGACTAGAACATGGCAAAAGTAGCCCCATGCCAAATCTAGGCTAGCTTTACGAAGCCTGCTTCTAACTCTTGGAGCCCTGAACCACTATGCAGGAAATCTAGTCTACTCTGCTGGAGGGAGAGGCCATGAGGAGGAACACTGATGAGCTTAACTTATGAGTGAAGAAGCCATCTTGGACATCCAGCCTAGTGAGCCTGGACTGCAGGTCCAAGTGCCAAATGACTGAAAACCATAAGAGATTCCAAGAAGACAATAATAAATTATAATTTGAAGGCATTAAGTTTTTTTTAAAAATAAATATACACCCAAATGTAACTGAGAGAGAATTTTCCAATACAAGGAAATAACTACCATTTGAGGGGACTGGAAAACTAAATTGTAAATTAAATTTATAAATTTAATATAATTACAATAAAAATCCCAATAGATTTTGTTTCTATCAGAACTCAAAGATTCTAAGAATTATTTGAAAATATAAACAGATGAGAATAATCAAAAGCTTTTTTGAAGCAGTGGCATAAACAGTTTAGGGAAATAAAGGATTCATGGTGCTACCTTCATCATATGTTGTAGTCATTTCTTTTTTCTCATTAAAAAAGAAAAGCATTCAAGCTAAAAAAAAAGGAAAATCGAGAGCCAAGGGTTTTTGCTTTTGAAAGCCTTGTTCTATTTTAAATAAGTGAGAAGTTTAAATTTAAGTAAATAAAGGCATGTAAGATATTTACATGAAAAAAAGCATTCAAGCCATTAAAAAATCAAATATGATAGCTTATAGATTAATATGCTTAATATATAAAGTACTCAGACCTATTGGCAGGAAAAATGTTAAAAACTCTAGGGAAATGAGCAAAGGCCATATAAAGACAATTCACAAGCAGGAAATTATTATTGTTAACTAGCTAATAAATACAGGGAAAATCCCAATTTACGTATAATAAAATATGTGAATTAAAACCGTAACCTTTTTGCTAATAAAATTGGTAATACTTTAAGAAATAATAATACTCAGTGGAGTGAAGATGGCATGAAATGGCTACTTTTTTCTATTGCCAGAAATATTGTAAATTGCTTTAGTCTTTCTGAAAAGGAATTTGGCTATATGAATCAAAATACTATTTGATCTAATAATTCTCCTAAGAAATTTCCCCAAAGAAAAATAATTCAAACTAGAGATAAAATTTATATCCAGAGATGCTCATGACTGAATTATTTATTATGGCAAAACTTGGAAAGTACCTAGTGTTTTAACATAAGGTGTAGTACTGTAGGGGTTCAGAATGAGCCTCCCCAAAATGTGTTACTCCTACATGAGGATTATTTTGAGCTGAAAACAATTGAGACTCTGTGGGTTCAAGATAAACTGCTGCCCTTCCCTTATCTACCTAGAAGAATTTAAATTGGAAACTTTTTCCCAGAAAAAAAAGTTATTACTGGAGATATATTTTAGCTAAGTGGCCTCATCTATATGGCAAGACAAACGTCTAATTGCCAAATATCTGCTCTTCTTACCGTTCTGTGAACCCTCCTATCCTTGGAAGCCCCAGGCCCCTATCCCATTCCTTAGCTCAGTCTGATATATATACCTCATTTTACCTTTCTGTCTTTAAACTTCTTGTGTATATGGGGGTTCCTGTATGTATGAAATTAAATTAGATTTTCTCTGGTTATCTGTCTCATATCAATTTAATTCTTAGACTAGCCAGAAGAACCTAGAAGCGTGAAGTCTTTTTCCTCTCTGACAATACTTATTAAATAAGTCATAATCACATGATGAGATATGTTATAGCCTTTGTAAAGTTTATGGATAGTTCTTAGTGTTTTGCTAAATCTTCTTACTTAAGGTCAAGAAAAACATTAAGATACAAAATTGTATGTATATTTTATCTAAACTGTAAAAATATAGAGGGGAAAAAAAATCCCGGAAGAAACTGTCAAAATGCTAGTGATGTTGCTCACTGAATGATAAAAGTCTAGGTGATTTTCTTAATCTTTATACTTTTTAGCATTTTCCAATGCAGCAAGCATGGTGGCTTATAATCAGAAAAACCACAAGGAAACAAATATATTATTTAAAAATGCAATTCAGGCTCATTTCCTCATATACATGGATTTGGCTCCATCTCTGAACAAAAGGAAGTTGCAAGACACATAATTAAAAACTCACAAAATTCAAAGGACTAATTTCCCCATAGGCATATATATAAAGAATGTGTCATGCAGTCTCAGGGTGCATAAATCTTTAGCTATTGTGTTATATATTCATACTTTTTACTTTTTCAGCATTATTTCTAGTGTTTCTCATATTGCCTGTTTCCACATTAACAGCACAGCATTCAGTATACAATGGCAGTTGTTTGGCTTACATTTAGAGTTTTATTCATCCACTTCTAAGTTCCATGCCAAAATAATTGACTTTGCACTAAAAAATGTTTCAGCACTACTTCTATCACCCCCATTTAATGAATACTTGCATTACATTGTTATAGGTACAAAAATATTTTAAATTATAATGGCAGTAAATGGTTTAATAACAGCAGAATAGTGACTGAACTCTTAGAAGTCCATGCACATAAACAAATGTGTGATTCGTAAAATACTGACAAAGAAGGAGAATACTTTTTACTTGCTAGAGACTTCACTATGTGGGCTTAGCATAAATACAGTTCACCATTCACTCAGGCTACCACCATTACAATCATGTAATTCCTGAAGAAATCTTGAAATATTTGGATTCATATTATTTAAAATTTTGTGCATGAATTGAGACTTTATAAATTTTTATATTATGGTCTCTTATATTTGCTTAATTCATATTTGCATAAAGTAGGATAGCATTATAAGTAGTCTAAAGGGAATCCAAATTATCCCCCCCATAGCTCTAGACATGAATGAATAAATATAGAATATTTAGGAAGTTATGAAATCATTTCCAAGGAAAGAAATGAAAGAGAATGGCAAGCTATGTCTTCAAAACTCCACCTCTTAAAGCTGGGTACTTATGGCCCACCCCAATTTTGGTGAAAGATACCTTCTCTTAAATTCTTCCCTATCCTTCTCCCAAAGAACAAAAATAAAGGAAAAGTTTCAGAGAAATTGTATTAGAAGATTGGTCTAAGGCTGGCTGTTTGTAGGGTATGTGAGCCTTTGGGACAAAGGAGAAGTGAGCTGAGGGTAATGGTGAAGAGTCAACTGAACATAATCAGGCTGAGTAAGGAAAATAATTAGTTCAGACATGGACTAGCAAATGCAGGAAGTTGAAAGGTCCAGGGAATTTTCAAAAAAAAAGAACAAGCATAACAGTAGTGAGTAGGCGTGAGATAGCTAGAAGAATTAGAGGTAGTGAGCAAAGGGGATGTCCTGGAATTTATTGGAATTTCAGATGTAGAACAACTCTGGGGAATGACAGATTTCAGGATGTGGCATGAGAATGAGTTTCTATAATGGAATCCAAGCCATTGACTAGAAAAGGTGAAAAATGGTAAGCCAGAGTGTTGACTAGAGTCTAAATACAGGTGTAAGTGAAGAAGTAAGCCAGAAAGAG